TGTTTTCTGCTAACTTCAGCTGTTTTCTGCTAACTTCAGCTGTTTTCTGCTAACTTCAGCTGTTTTCTGCTAACGTCAGCTGTTTGTCTTCTTCACAACCAAAGATTTTGTAACCTCTCTCAACATTAGCAGTTCCTGTCAGTAAAGTGACGACGCTGCCGTCTGAAGAGTTTCTGCTCAGGACTCAGTCGGTCTGGATCAGACGGACCAGTCCAGGCTCCTCTTTGATCTTATCAGGTGTCAAGACCAGGTCAGGTCTGGATGGAGGACCTGGACCGGTCTCCCGGTGCGGGGCGTCAGATGATTAATGAGGCCTGAGCCCCCCGCTCTCACACACATCAGAGYGGTGAGTCGGTGTGATATTTCAGTGTGAACTTATGATGCGTGTGCGCCTCGCTTCCTGTGCCGGCGACCCCCCCAACCCCCCCCAACCCCACACTTCCCACCAAGTCTCTGAAGACCCCTCCACTTCTCCGGCCGCCTCCTACAAAAACAACATTTGTGCCGAGGCTGGAGCGTGTTATTCTAACAAATATATTACATTAATTATGCTCTGTTATCCGAGCCGCCCCCTGAGAGGCTTCAAAGCCCCCCTCAGAGATGCCGCTGCCCCCCCCCCAGCACCCTGCAGAGTCCGGGTAAAGCTCACCCAGCAGAGAGGACAGTTTGGGGAGGAGACCGGCCTGGACCATCTGTCTGCGCAGAGACGTGTCGAAGGACAGGTTGAGGAGACACAGGGTGGTCCTCAGCAGGGACAGTTTCTGCACCGCCGACGCTTCAGCCTGAAGAGAGAGACAAACCGGTGAAACACATCCTCAGCATCCAGCAGAACCGCCACAGAACCGCCACAGAACCGCCACAGAACCCGCCTGGCCACAGACCAGGTCCGGATCACAGAGGGGGTCTGAGTCAACATTAACGCCGCTGAAAAACTCCAGCTGGGTTTCCTCCTCAGTGAGTCAGGATGTAAAACCGTCACATGTGCAGCAGAACTTTAAGATGCTTCTTCATGAAAACAGTTTGAAGCCAGGCAGAACTTTCTGTTGAACCCAATAAAACAGACCAGAACCAGCCCAACACTTGGACCTGGTCCAGAAGGGCTCAGTTTCCTTGAACAGAGGTCTAATGAACTTGGTTTGGACTGACCCACAAACCAGCATGTTTAACCCAGGGGTGGGCAGTCCTGGTCCTGGAGGGCCGCAGCCTTTTCCCTCTCCAGCACACCTGAGTCAGTCACAAGTTCTGCAGTACGGAGGACCAACACTGACATAATTAGAAATAAAAAACAGGAATAGATAAATTAACCGTTAAATAAATAAATACATTTAAAATGCACCAAATAAATTTAAAAAGAACTTTACTTCATGTTTTATAAATTAATTCACCTTCATTTTTAT